TTTGTATACAGTTTATACTGTTAGATTTAATCCCTGACAGGTCTCTTTCTGAATTTGTCCAGTTGAAAAATAGTGTACAGTAAGAAATTGGCCCTAGGCATAAAGGATTTGCCTGTTCTGAATTTGCTTTCTTGCTGCAGATCAATACACCAAGACTGTGAGAGAAAAACAAAAGAGAGAGAAACACGACGGGGAGCATACTTGGATCAGACAAGATAGCATCTGTCTTGGGTACAAACTGGTCACAGCGCAGTCCATGGTAGCCCTCTTTACACCTGTAAGAGAGGAGGAAGAAAAAAAAGAGACAGATTTAATGTCAGAAGTGAGACAATCCAAGCAAAAAAAAAAAAGAATCAAAGCTCAGCGTGAAGACATCAGCTTGAAGAGACTTTCRGATGAGGAAATATGAGAACAGGAAACTTATAGGCAGAAAAAAAAAAGGATGATTGCTACAAAGTGGAGGGCTGGCTGTGTGCTGAGATACAGAGACACTATAGAGAGGGGGTGGAGTGAGAAGACAGAGAGGAAGAGGATGAGAGCTGGGCTGGACCGAGCAGCGCCTGCAGCATAACTGATAGCACATGACAGACAGGAATGCCAGGTCCCAGTGGAAGAAATCAGGCTGGAGAGTTCTTGGCACGACGCAGGCTCCACAAGATCTACAGTGAGAAGGAAGGCTGCCATGGCTGGAAGACTTAAATAAACAAAGTCCTGGCACAACGCAAATATTTTCCTCCATCGCCAAATAAATATGCATGCACTGCTGATGCCTCCAGATCTCTGCGCGACTATCACAGAAATAACTACAGAAAAACGTGTCATTTGGCTGTCTCAATTGCAGAATTTTGCTTTACATATAACTAGAATACAAGATTTATGACATGTATAAAGTCTTGTGTTTTAGTCAGTGGATGGGGGCTATGAATTTTGTTCTTTGTAGCTTTTATGCTTTTTCAATAATTTTATTCACAGATATTTTTCTCTAAGAAAAACATGGAGATCCCTTTAATTCCTTCAAAATCAMTCTTGTATACAGTAATAAGGGTTCTCAAACTTTTTCTTTTTTTTTTGCCATGGCTATGACTCCCCTCCAAACAGCATTCTCTTCTGGCCAGGGACCCCTCTTGAAAACCCACAAACAATGCTACAAAATAAAACTGAAATAACAATTTAGTATATTTTTTTAAATATATTTTAAAATAAGGATTGACAAACAACTGTGGCGGCACGGTGGCTCAGTTGGTAGAGCTGATGCCTCTCAGCAAGAAGGTTGCCGGTTCAAATCCTGGCCTGGAGACCTTTCTGGGTAGAGCTTGCATGTTCTCTTCATGCATGCATGGGTTCTTTGCGGGCACTCCGACTTTCTCCCACACACCAAAAACATGACTGTCAGGTTAAGTGATAAATCTAAACCGACCCTAGATGTGAGTGAGTGAATGGTTGTCTGTCTCTATGTGTGTCCCTGTGATGGACTTGTAATATGTCCAGGGTGTACCCCGCCCCTCGCACTGTGACTGCTGGATATGGGCACCAGTGACCCCCGTGACCCTGAAAGGAAGAAGCGGGTATAAACAATGGATGGATTGAAAAACAATGATTATAGTATTAACTTCCTTTTAATAAACTGAAATAGATAAAAGTTGAACACGTCTTTGGGAACCATTCTGCTTCTTTAAGCTAGGCTTTTAGGTTTTAGCTACAATTTGTTTTAAAGCTGAAGATAGTAACATTTTTTTCATTTTTAGCTCTGTTTTGCTAAATTTTAGCTATCCTTTTGYTATTTTTAGCTAACCTTTTGCTTCTTTCATCTAGCTTTTTCAACTTTTTGCTTATAGTTAGCATTCTGCTGTTTTTAATTTTTAGCAAGCATTTTGCTGCATTTAGTTCTTAGCTGATGCTTGGCTTTGTTTTAGCTTTAGCAACTCAGTTTCTGCAAGTTTCAGCAATAATTTAGCACTCAGCCATCATGCTGCATTAAAAAAGACATTTTCTTTTAGTTTTTCTTTAAGTTCCATCCTGTAAGCTGAATGTATGCTTTAAAGAATAGTGTTGAAAAATCTGAAGCTACTTCCTCCACACTAAATCTGGTGAAATCCTCAATAGTTCTTGTCTTAAAGAGATTTAGGCCTTTTTATTGTTGCCTTCAACAGTGGCGGTAATGCGGCCACATGCAGTGGGCTGATCCATCCTTCTGCACGTCCAAAGCTTAGTCAAGACAATTGTGGGATTTGAACTGATGTGTTTGCTTCAACATAAACGTGTACATGAGTGAGMCATTTATCCGAATTGTATCTATTGTCTCAGTTCCATCTGCCTAACTCTCACACAGTTTCAATCAATACATGAACGCTACATTGCACCAGTGTCAAAAATCAGACATTTAGTGTATTACACTTGATAAACAACAAACATGGATCATTAATTTTTAACACTTGGGGGAGAAGAAGAGAAAGGAAGAGAAAAAAAAAAGCAACACCGTCAACAACAACAAGTGAGCTATTCAGAATAAAGTGAGCAGCCGTGAAGATCACAAGTTGCTGGGTGTGTGAAAACTGTGACAGGATTTTTTTAAAACTCTTTCTTGGTTCATTTCAAGCTRCAGTTTAGGGTCCATTTGGTCTCTGTTTCAGTGCAGCATGAGCAGTTTCTTATTTCACTGCTTTCTAGTGATGCAGAACGATCAAACTGATAAGAAACATAAATTTGCGGTTCTCTAAATTCACACCAAGTGATAGATATAATGAAGATAACCTTAAATCATAAGTCAKCTTCTATAACTTCCATTTTTGCCTGTTGGAGAGCCAGGTTCAATCAAATTCCTATCTTTTTATGCTAACTTATGCTATCCATTTTAAGAGACTAACTTGATGTATCAAATAATACTCGAAATCAACTAMTAATAATGGCTGCAGCAATTTGTGCTACTCTCCCAACCACCTTAGTTGATTAAATTAGGATAATAATTTGCAAGTAATGTTAGCTAAAAAATGCTAACAGTATGGAAATTCATCTACTAATATTTTTTTTATTTTACTATGTCTGTATAAGGAAAACTTAAAACATGAAAATGTTGGTGCCTCAGTAATGCAATGAATCACAATATTAGTCAATAACTTAAATTAATAAATATGTGTAGCTACGATCARTTTGCTTCTAAATTACCATGCAGTAGAGTGGCATAACTAAACAAAAGTCCTGTTAAAAAACACTAAATTTCCAAACATTACTCCTAAAATACGGGTTTGTGTCATAAAATCTGTGTGAGGGAYATGGCAGTTAGGCTGCAGGGTGTCCTTATTGAAACAACCTTATTATGTGGCAATAAAATCTCTAAAAGCACCTAGGAGCGGCTCATAACTTTTCAAACTACGTGGGAAAAAATATCCAGGAATTAAACGTTCTACATCTTAAATCTGAAACTCTGTTTGTCATTTCATTTCAAAATTAATAAGCGAAACCTCTATAGCTCTGTGCTCAAGCAAGCAAAAGGAGGGTGGTGGACAGACAAAACCCTGTCACCATTTCTCGAAAACTGTGAGACTACTACTGCTTAATAAGGCTGAAAAATGGCTAATGCAAAACTAATGTTGAGTTTTCCACCCTCTCTGTCAAATCTCTCTTATATACTTCAACAAAGATCTGTGAGAATATGAAGTTTTTTTATATAGTATCTTGGGAAAAGATCATTAAACCACATACTTGTGCAGTTTACAAGAAATTTCTGACATCTTAGAACATGAGCTACAGTTCTGTATTCTAAAATTGATAATGTTTCAGAGAAACACACAGGTCTAGACAAAGTAAATGGTTTATTCTAAGTCTTATAATAAATGATTCTTGAGCCTGGAAATTCTTCTCATTAGCATCTTGACGTACGACCTGAATACCATCAATGTTGGGACGTTGCAAAAAAATGTAAATAAAAACAGAATGCAATGATTTGCTAATCTGATAAACCCATATTTTTTATTTTCACAAAATAACATAGTAAACATATCAAATGTTTAAACTAAGAAATTAAACCATTCTTATGGGGGAGAAAGGGGTTTATTTGGATTTTGAAAGTGGGATGGGGCAACAGTAAACAGCAGAAGGAGMATTTTGCAACTAATTAGATGAGTTGGCAACAGGTCAGTGAGAGGACTGTGTAAAGAAAGGGTCACCAGATAAATCTGATAGGCTGATTTTCTCAGAAATAAAACTGGACAGAAGTTCACAAGACTAACAGTTTACAGAAAACTGCATCTAAAAATAGTGGCGCAATTTCTGAATAATGTTCCTCAACAGAAAACTGGAAAGACTTAATATCTTATCCACAAATTCAGAATATCTATTATGATTTGTATGGTTTGGATTATTTTGTCATGTCATGCCTGGACTTCCAAACCTCTGCTCTTCGCCTACCCTCTGTTTGGTTTTTGTGATCTTGGATTTAATGGATTTGACCCACACCTGATTCCTGACCTCTCTCTGTCTGCAAATACCTCAGCCAGTGGATTCCACTTTCACAAACCCAGAACAGTCTCTTTCACCACGCTTTCCCTGTCGCCCCAGGATCTCCTTTGGACTTTTCTGCTTGCACTCAGAGGATTTATTGACCCATCTGTGTACAGTCCCAGAGGCCCTGCTCCATGACACATCACTCATTTCCATTTTCTAATAAATTCTGTAAACAATCTCATTCTGTGTTGGCTGAGCTTTTGGGTCCAAAAACCCCACTCTGAAACCATTACAATAACATCAAAAATTTCATGAATGTGGAAAAATTGTGTGCTCAAAGGACAAGACTAAAGGTTGGTATTGGAGCTAAGTTAAAAACAGGTCTAATTTTATTATAGACATCAATGTGTGGGCTCAAGAGCACTTCCGCAAGTCATTGTCTGCAAACACAGTTCACTGAGCCATCCACAAAAGCAGGTTGAAGCTCTATCATGCAAAGCAGAAGCCATATGCAAACACCATCCAGAAACATCACTGTTTTCTCTGAACCAAAGTTTATATAAAATAGACTGAAGGAAAGTAGAAAATTGCTTTTTGGTCAGACAAAAACAGCTGAGATTCTTAAAAAAATCTGCAAACACACTGTCCTCATACTTAAGGTATTAGCTGACAGTTACAAAGTCTGCATCTCTGATGGTATGGGTGTGCATTAGTGTCAATGTCCCTGGCAGCTGACACATCTGGAAAGGACCCATCAGTGCAGAAAAAGATACACACATGTCAGAGCAACATACGCTCCCCTCCAGATGACTTTGACTCCCAGAGAGGACCTTGC